ATGCTTGATTTTTGGTGGCACATTCAAACTCCACAAGGTCTTCCATAATGTTCTTGGCAACTGATAAGAGCTGCAAGGCTCATCCTTCACCTTAACCTTTTCTGCTTTACGAGCTACATGATAACTAGATTTCACCAAATAATTCCCATCCTTCGTAAACTTCCAGACCAACCTATCCTCCAAGTCTACTCTCGAAATAAGCATATTCCCAATCAAATCACAGCAATCCTTATCAATAAAGTTTCTAATACAGTCAAGCTTCCAAATCCCATTAGTAATTAGATCTGAAACTTTTAACTTTTTCAAGTCATTATTAAGATCAACTCTAGGCTTCAACTGCCCTTCCAATCCTAAAACCCAACAATCATTCCATATACTGATTTGATCTCCTCTTCCTACTCTCCATTGCAAACCTTTAACAAGCAAATCACGCCCCTCAATAGTGCTAGACCAACCTCATGAAGCCTTCCCACCTTTTTTGGCCTGTAAAAAATCTACCTTAGGGAAATAAATTCCTTTCAATATCTTACACCAAAAATCATTAGGATTTTGAATTATACGCTAGGTAGATTTAGTTAACAAAGCCTTATTAAAGGCTTGGAAGCTTCTAAAACCCATTCCCTCATCATTCTTAGCCCCAAACAAATTACTCCAATTCTTTCAATGAATCTTCCTCCCATCATGATCATTATAGCCCCACCAAAAATCAGAAATCATGCTATCAATTTCCTTACAGACTTTATCAGGATATGCAAAACAAGCCATGGAGTAAACAAGAATGGAATTACCAACAGCTTTAATTAATACCTCCTTCCCCGCAAAGGTAAGCAATCTTTGTTTCCATCCTTAAAGCTTGAAAAGTATTTTTTTGCTTCACAAAAGTAAGAGCAGCTGATTTAGATCTTCCCCACAGCACTGGCATACCCAGATAAGTGCCTGGATCCTCTGTTGCTTTCACACCAAGTACCTCCTCAATTTTTGTTCTCAAATCTGAAGAAGTATTAGCCGAAAAAAACACACAGGATTTATCCAAATTCATCTCCTGTCCAGAAGCATCACAGAAAGGTTCTAAAATTCTTCTCAGAATTAAGCAATTATTTCTATTTGCCTTTACAAAGAAAAGCGCATCATCAGCAAAAAAATAATGGAAAGAATTAGACCTCCCTTAGACAACCGAATCCCCATAAGCTCCTTTTTATTCACGTGATATTGCAGCATCAAGGATAAAACATCTACTGCAATAATGAATAGGTATGGAGACAAAAGATCTCCCTGTCTCACTCCCCTTCCAGGAACAATCCTTGCCACCTTCCTATTAGATATTAGCAGATCATAAACAATTGAAGTCACACACTCTATAATCCAATCTATCCACTATGTACAAAAGCCCATTTTTGACATCACCTCCATCAGAAATTTCCAGTTCACTCGATCGTAGGCTTTACTTAGATCAATCTTCAAGGCTAACTCAACTTTGACCCTTTCTTTTCTCCTTTTCAAATAATGAAACGCCTCATGCGCAATTACAACATTATCTTGAATTTGTCTACCAGCAATGAATGCTCTTTATTGTTGAGAACTACAAAGATTTAGCAGCCTTCTCATTCTAGCAGTTAAGATTTTTACTATAATCTTGTATGAAGCATTACACAGACCAATTGGACAAAAATGGTTAACAGTCTTTGGTCTTTCCTTTTTAAGAATCAAGACTATATTTGTTAAATTGAGTTTCCTCAAACTTGAATGCCCTTCAAAAATTTGATGCACTATGTCACACACTTCTTCCTTTACTTCCTCCCAAGATGATTGATAAAACAAAGCAGTGAAGCCATCTGGACCAGGTACTTTTGTGGCGCCAAGATCAAATACAGCCCTCTCAATCTCTTCCATAGAAACACTATTGACTAACAAATCATTATCCTCATCAAAAATCACGGGATTCACATGCTTCAACACTTCTTCAAGCTTTTTAGAGTCCTTAATAGAAAAAAGATTTAAATAAAACCTGTCAAAAACTGAATTAATATCTTCCTCCTTCTCCAACCAATAACCATACTCATTCTTCAACCGAATGAGTTTGTTTCCTTATACGCCTATGAATAACAGTATTATGAAAAAAAACTTGTATTTCTATCCCCATATTGAATCTATTTCAGTCTAGATTTTTGCCACCAATAATTCCTCTCTATCCCAAGCTTCCTCCATTTTAGCAACAATCTCCTTAGCTGAATTAGCAACTTCAACAGTAAAAGGGCCTTTTTGACATTCAACAAGTTTTTCTCTTAAATCCTCAATCAGCTTCCTATTATTAGGAAAGGTCTCCTTACTCTAAAAAATTAATTCTTTTTTACAAGAATTCAACTTTCTTAAAAACATATCAATTTTATTAGCATCCTCACAGCTATAACCCCTTCTCCAACCTTTCTGTACAACCTTCAAAAATTGCTCATGTTCAACCTATAAAGCATCAAATTTAAACGATCTCTTGGTCTTACTAGTCTGAAAACAACAATCAACTATAATCAAGTTATGATCAGATCCCACAGGTTCAGAATGGAAGACCACTGCCTTGCTAAAAACCTCTCAAAATTCAATATTGCCATAGCCTCTATCCAATCTTTCCCTCACATGAGCCTTGCCCTGTCTATTATTCCTCCAGGTAAAACATGGTCCCTTAAATTCAAGATCAAGCAATCCACAATCAAAAAGTAAAGTCTAAAAGTTTACCACTCTGCTAACTGAAACTGGTCCTCCACCTTCTTTATCCAAAGAAGAACTTAATTCATTAAAATTTCCCACACAAAGCCAAGTACCAAGCACTTCTCTAGCTAGTGATCTCAGTCTGTTCCAAACTAAGCCTCTATCTTGTTCAACAGGAGCACCATACACAAAAGTAATGAAGTTAGGGATAGATTCAGTTGTAGAAGACAACTTACAGTGAATCAGATTCTTAGAATGGAACAAAATCACCAAAGTAATATCTTCAAGCCACCACAGAGCTAATCCTCCAGACCTACTAACTGGCTCCACATATAACTCCTTCTCCAAACCACAGCTTCTATGTAACCTTTTCAACTTATTACAACCCATTCTAGTCTCCATTAAAAAAATTATTGAGGGCTTAAAATTTTTATTACAATCTTTCAAATTTTTCTTTGTCAAGGCCGCCCCCAAACCTTGACAATTCCATAAAAATATCTTCATGGTGACTTGGCAGTTGTTAAAGGCCAATTGCCTTCGCCCTCAACAAAACAAAAATCCTTTCCCACATCTGTTCTCATCAAAACATTCTGGGGCTTAGCTACCCCTTCTTCCCGATCCTCACAACCTTCCTGAAACTTTAAAGAAGCCACCCCTTTCTTTCTTGCTTCTTGCTTAATTGACATCATCCTTCTCAAAGAAGCTCTTTTCAATTTCTGCTGTTCTTTCTTCAAACTTTCAATAGTTTAAAGTAAGAAAAAATAATATAAATACACATAACATTATATGAATAGGTGTAAAAGTGATCAAACCATTAATTTTGCCCTAATGCCATTAGTTTTCAGTGTTAAATGTTAATTATACATGTCACGTGTTAATTTTTATTGATGTGAACTAAATAAATGGCAAAAACATCCACGAAGTTATCGACCAGGAACATCCAGTAACCTAAAGTGAGAAAAAAAGATAAATATACCCATAACATTACTAAAGTTGGTGTAAAGGTAACCAATCCATCAAAATCCTTAAATGTTGATCATTTAGCTTATATCTAAGTAAAAGTTGACTATCTTTTCACTCACATAGACAAAAAAATTCCCAAGTGAATTTTTACAAAAGTTGATCGATCATCGTATGAGTACCCATAATGTTATTTTAGTAAGTACAACAATAATTAATTTGTTAAAATTCATGCAATATGGTTTCTTTTCACTGCCACGTATCCTACCCCCTTCCTCCCTCCCTTTCTCTCCACTCATTTTTTTTTGTCTATAAAACCTAAAGATTAATACAGTGAGATAAGTTGGACAAAATTGAAAATCAAGATTAAGCATACTTCCCAAACTGCCCTACATTAAGAATATTGTCATAACTTTAAGCAATTTTATTCATGACAGGTTCAAAATTTTCAAATAATTTTCACCATTACTGTAAAAGAGAAAGTGATTTAATTTGATGTTTATTCAAAACGATATTTTCCCACATAATATTCATACAATAACTAATTAACGTCTATAGAATTTTACTTGAAAATATTTTTTGTTTACATGAGCTAAAAAATGGTCACATTTTACTTAGGTATTAACTAAATGATTAACATTTGAAGGATTTGATAAATTAATCACTTTTGCACCAACTCTGAAAATATTATAGGTATTTTTTTCCTTTTTTTCATTTTAGGCTATAGGATGCTTCTGGTCGATGATTTTGTGAGTATTTTTATCCTTTTTTAATTCACGTCAGCAAAGACTGACATGTGACATATATAATCAGCATTTAACACCAAAAACTAACGGCATTAAAGCAAAGTTAACGGTTTAATCACTTTTTCACCCATTTATGTAACGTTATAAGTATTTATACCATTTTCCTCACTTTAGACTAGTAAATGCCTCTGATTGACCACTTTATAGATATTTTTATCCTTTTACCCTATATTTAATGGTTAAGGAGAGGGAGGCGCATAAAATTTTTTTTTTCATACATAAAGTACACAATCAAATTTATTAACTTTATTATAATTTATAGAATAAATGAGCAAATTACCTGTTGAGTTTTAAATCCAACAGTATCATAGATCTTAAATTTATTTATTGTGCAGATTATTTCCTCAACCTTAAAAACGGTGCAAATAGTCCTTGTTATTAACAAAAATTAATTTTAACTATTAATTAATCAAAAAATAAAAAAACATCAAAAATTATAGAAAATGATTTTTTTTTTGTATTTTTCTATAACTTTTAAGTCGTTTATCATAATTTTTTCATGTACATTCTATTTGAAACTTTTAAGATTGGCAATTGAATTTCAACGATTTGTAATTAAACTTCAAGATTTGCAACAGGCTAAAAAATAGTCGCACGAGGCAATGAAGAGTGTATCACATACGTTTGTTTACTTTTGTACACAGTGCATGTTGGTCCATGAAACCAAAAGGGGAACGGCTTTATATGGTGACAGCTTTATCAGTTCTATGGCGTTTATGGGAAAGAAAACCTTCATAGCTTACTGGTTTGATGGCTTGCAAGGGTATTAGTAGCTGCCATCCATTGCTTCCCCAAAGCAATCAATTCTCCATTTCCTTTCTTCCTAATCTGAACAGCCACACAAGTTAATCTCTCCTTCTTCCCCACAACCTTTGCCTCTACTTCAACCTCTTCCTGTCATTAAAGACCCACGAAAGAAAAATGTAATCTTTTGCAAAGGGGAAAAAGAAGTTGTTAGATTCAAACATTACAAAGAAAGGGCAGGAAAGAAAGAAAGATACAGCACCTGAACCTTAGCCGGTGAGAAGATTGATATAGAGAAATCGACAGAGACATTGAAGACAGGAACAAAGGAATAGGTGGCCAAGGTGCCAATGTTGTCAATTAACGTAGCGACGGCTCCTGCATGCCAATTTCCATTTTCATCCTACAAAAGCAAAGAAAGCAAAAACTTTTCAAGGACGGAAAGTGGGAGGAAGCGATCGAACGAATGAGGGATGGTCACAGATTTGTACTGATACGCCATTGGGGAGGATGTAATTACAAAGGAGGAAGCCTTTGCGAGCCTGGGCTACTCGGATATTGTTTGTGGAAAGAAAAAGAATCTGTCGACCAGAAGCAGAAGCGTGCTCCAAAACGGTTCTTAGCAGCTCGAGGGTCGATTGCAGAGAGCTATCTTCTTTCTTCATCTCTGGACTTGGCCAATGCTGATCTGCTCATACAACATCTGAGCAACTTTGAGCATATAAAAGTCAACGTTGCCTTTCGAACTTTTGGCGGGCTGGTAATGGCGAGAGAGCCAGCATTTTGGTAACACCAACAACGCACGAGCTCGAAAACTGGTCGTTGAACAACGAACTATACAAATTAAAAAGACACGTCATTACTTTGTGACTTGGGAGTCAAATCTAGCAAAATAAAGAACATATGTGCTTTTCACCAATGCGTGTGTGTATGCGTGTGCGCTAAAATCTTGTCCGTCAAGAACATCATGATCGTGGTTGGAAGGTCCGCTTTTTACCCTTGTATCTTGATTTTCAAAAAACTGAAAAAGGCTAGATGGATTGAATCCAAACCTGGTTGGGTTAGGTTGGATGTTGACGGTTTTGTATACACCAATAGAATTGCTACTTGTGAAAGTCTTATCCGAGATCACCAAGGCAACTGGATAAAAAGCTCTACTAAATACATTGGTTATCTTCTTAGTACTGCTGCTGAGCTCTTGGCCATCCTTGAAGGTCTTTCTCTTTGTTGAAAGTACAAATTCACCCACGTTATGCCGACTCCCTTAAAGCTTTATTGCTTATTCAGCATTGCCACAACTCGGATCATCGCTTAAAGGAAATCATAACAAAAATTAGAGATCTTATCATGAAGGATTGGATTGTCAACTTCAATCATGTATTTAGGGATGCCAACAAATGTGCGAACTGGCTTGTTCATCAAGTGTCGAACGACAATAACAAGTGTCGAACGACAATGACGACATCTTGATTTTTGATGATCCTTTGCCAAAATGTCATACTCTTATACAACATGACTTGACCTAGTTTTGCACAATTTTTTATGACCTTTTATTCAAAAAAAATTGAAAAAGACTCTAGTGGGTCCTCCTAGTCTTTAGAAAAAATTTGTTTTTGGCCAAATTTAGGAAAAAAAATTAATACCAATACCTAAGTACTATGGGGTTTCAAAACATATTATCAAAATGCTGCATTACCAGACTTGGTGACACCAAGATTCATTGAAGTTTTTTTAAAAGAAAATTAAATGCTCAAATTTTATAATAATGTATATGTGTTTTTCCAAATGTTTTATTTGGAACAAAAGAATTACCATGCATAATACAAATGTAACATTATTAAAAATTATTTTAATAATTTTTCTTAAATGTATAATCAACAAAAATTTATAATGTGTATTCAAAGCCAAGAGGGGTTGTAGAGAAGTGGGGGCAACAATGGCAAGGTTTGTGAGATTAGAGTGAGGCAAAATATAAGACCAAGACTTTATGTTTCATAAGGCATGGTCAATCCAGGCTTTTGTCTTTTTGGATACTTTACTCATGCATTTTTTTGCAATAAAATCAAGTAAAAATTTAACAATGAACAAGTGAAGTAGAATAATAAACATTAGTTTATAAATAAATAAACAACATACAATATATGAATCAATAAGTTGCTTTAAGATGATTTAAATATTTAAAATGAAAACAAGTTAAATAAGACGATGAATAAAATTTCACAAGTAAATTAACAAGTAAAGTAGAATAATGAACGAGTGAAATAAAAAAAATTGTGATATTAATTTAAATGAGAGACAATTTTATCATTACTCTTAAAAATTTAATATCAAATTAATATCCTTAGATAGTAGTAAAATTTAAAAGTTTTAATTTAAATAGGTATAGTCTAAAGGTTTTTATTAAAATTTCTCCCTTACTATTATTAGTCTACGAGTACCAAAGTCTACATGGAAAGATCTTTGAGAGTTTGTTTTGAATCAAGCGTGCACTGAAAGACCTTTCTTCCCCCAAGCTCTCAACGTGATGCTGTTGCAGGTTTTTAATTTGAGGAATACTCTCTCTTATCTTTATTATAAAACACTTTCAACCACTTCATGTATATATATATATTTTTTGATATTATAAAAAAATAAAATATACTTTCATTTTTATCTCTAATTTTAAATAATAATACAAATATATTAAATACATTTACATTAATAAAAAAAGAGTTAAATTGGAAAAAACTATTTAATTATTGCAAGGTGTCTTATAAATTGGGCTAAAAATTACTTTTAGAAGTTCAGAATCCTCCCTCACGACAATAACTACGGCTATATGAGGTGCCAAAATTCTTAAAATAAGGATATGCTCATTTAAGATTGAAGACTTCTACATTTTGCCACTACTTTTGGCAGTTCATGTTTTCCTGACTCCAGCTCAAGCCTGGGGGAAAAAAATTGAAAAAGCCTTGTCAAAGCTCACTATGACCGCTGCACGAGGCAGAAGCATTTCTGGTACATTCTGGCCATAAAACTCAACTTTCTGCAAATTCTTCGGGTAAGAAAATCTTTTGTTTTGCCAAAGTTGTGCAATGCACAGCTGATTCAGCGAATGAATATGTGCTGCTTATCCATCATTTAGGTTGCTTGTTGTGGAAGATGTGCCATCTCAATTTCCTGAAGAGACTTCCCTTTTGTTTCTACAACATTTTTCTTCACAAATATCACTGCCATCAGACAGAATGCAGCAAAAATAGCGTACAAGAGTTGTGCCCCTATTTGCTCCAGCAAGCGCAAAAATAATAGACCGACAAAGAAGTTCATAACCTGTCGAAGAATGTATCAACAATCTCAGAGAACTTGAATAAACCAAAAAAAAAAAAAAAAAACCAGCTTGGGATACACTAAAGGGGAGGGGGCGGATATGATAATGAAGACCTAAACTTTTTAATACATGCATGATGCATGCTGTAAACATTAATTGATTAGGAAGAATGCTGGTTCCCATGCATGCACGTTATATTCTTCAGGAACATGTTGAGGATATAAAACTTAACAAATTAATGACTTAATTTCTGAACGATCACAATCCACTCAATTTGGTCTACCAAAGATAAAACCTCAGTTTAATCTCTAAAATATTGTTCTTTTCAATCTAGGTCTTCAAAGATAAACTATTTCAATTTTGTTCTTCAAATATTTTCTCCCAGTTAAAAAAAAAAAAAAAAAACCGGAGCTCTTTCAGGAAGTAACCGGGGGTTGGGATTCTCTTGCACACTAAAATCTGGCTCTAGTAAGAAAAGATGTCATATCTTGGGTTTAACGGAAGAATTATTATTATTATTATTTTTTAAAAACAACGGAAGAATTATTTTGATCACAAGAAAATGGTAAACGATTCAGCAAGAATGAAAGCATTTTAAGCGGATTTCAAGTCTATAAGATAATAGATGGAAGTCCAAACAATTTTGCTACTTCCTTCCACAGAGCAATCAATAAAATGATTTTAGAGAGCATTAAAGAAAAACGAATGCAGAATAAAATTACCCAATGTACAGCCATGCAAATTGCCATTGCCTTGGCCCTGATTGCGCTTGGCAGTATTTCTGACAGGAGAAGACCAGGAACGGGACCAGCACCAAGAGCAAAAGACAAGACAAACCTGCATGAATATTAAAGGCACGGGTTTCAGCAATAATAACACCAAGGCGCATTAAATACTTGCAACCACCAACAAATATTGAATCTTGGAGCTACATTTCTTTCCAGTTTTCATTTTCTTCTTCCGTATATAATTTTGTTTCTTTTACTCTTTTCTCCAGTCCAAGAAAGCTAAATTTCTCTGAGCACTCACATCAACATGCTACCAACAGATAGATACATTGCTCCATATTCTGATGCAAAGGAACTTGCAGCAATTATTTGCAGACCCAATGATACAGCCTAGATCAGCAATATGAATAAGTGTTAGACAATAATTCTCACCTAACTTGTGAAAATGAATGGAAGGTGTAATTAGATGTACATAAGCCTAGTGTCACAGTTACAGGAAGTCATTATAATTAAAAATAAAATAATATTTCTCTTGTCGTTCTAATAAATCCTTCAATAGGAGATTTCATAATTCGACCTACTCTAATTAGGGTGCAAGTAAAAGAAAAAATTGAAAATATTTTGGGCAAAGTATAGGATTAAGACAGGTTACCATTTTCACCTTCCTATTTTAACTCCTACCAAGCACCATCTAAATGTCCCCAAGACTACAAAACAGAATCAAGATAAATTCCCAAAAATTGAGAAATCTTCAGAAGGATTTTGTTAGTTGCATATTAAGCTATTAAAAAAATTCAAAACTCCAATTTATATCCTTTAGATGCAATATCATACTTTGAAACCATAGATGACCTACATGAACAATAGACAAAACAGAGTAATTTAATTTATATTCCATCTGGTCTTAAATGGAGGAGCCGGTTGAGAAGTTTATTTTGGTCTTAAATATAAGACTTCAATCTCCTTTGTCTCCCTCATTTATTATTTTTTCCCAAACTACCCCCATCAGTGGCAGGCCTATGTAGGTGTCAGTGTGGGCAGATGCCCCCCCCCCCCTCAAATTTGTGAACTCCAAATGAATAAGATAGAGTTTAGCATTATGCCCCCACTCATCCATAATTTTTGCACCCAATAAATTAGTAGGAAGAAGGAACAAGAGCGTTGTTCACGATATTAGGAGGAAGAATATAATCAATGAAGTAGGAAAGGAAAAAGAATGATGGTGGGGTCCAGTTATAAGGTGATTCAGGAAGTAATGTTTACTACAGGTGATATGCAACTAGTTTAAGGGTTGTTTGAATTTTTTTAGTGCTTTATTATAATTATTAAAGGATTTTTTACATTAATAAAATTATGATTTTGGATGAGATGAACTTACTCCCTCCGTTAAAAAATGTAAGATATTTTTTGAAGAGTTGGATGTTAAAAAATGTAAAGCATTTTTAGTCTTTTGAGGTGTGATCATTGCCTTTTTTTTTAAGTACCCCGATTGATAATGACTTTATATTTATTATAGGGTATTTAATAGGGGTAACTATAGAAAAATAGGGTTAGTTGAAAAGTAAGTAACTACTTTATTGGGGGTGAGATTCGGTTAAAAATGCCTTATATTTTTGAACGGAAAAAGCATCTATTTTGATTAATTAATGTAAAATAAATAAATAGAATTTTTTCCTAAATTTTGAATATAACAATTTGTTATTAGGGGAGTGATAAGATGTTGACCTAAATTTTATGAATCTAAGCTCTAATCCTATAATTTATTTGGTTTTTGTATATATTGAATTTTATATGATAATATGAATAATCATTTGTTTTTTCTTAAAGAAATATTGCCCCCATTGATCCAAGGTCCTTAATCTGCAACTGATCCCCCATTGATTGTACTCAATCAGTAGGGGTAGTTTACAATGTAAATGATTAAAATGAGTATTTCAGGAAAACCAACACATATTTTTTACAAATAACTAACTCACCCAATTTCCTTCATCAATAAGTTAATTAGCACCTACACTTGGGACTAGAAGGAGTAAAATATTCTGCCTCAAAGTCTATGCAGAAAATAATCAAGCATAGTAAATATTAAATCAACCAAACTATGAATTTTTTTGTTTCTCACCATGGCCATAAAACTCCCCATGAGAAGCACTTTCCTTCCTAGTTTATCCATCAAAATCATTGCAAGAATTGACCCTGAAGGGGTACGAACGACATGGTTGAGAAAAGAGATGGAACTTACAATCAAAACAACAAAAATACTAGGGGTTAAAGCGAATGCATACCCACTAGATTGCAAATTCCTACACAAGTGTTTGCAAGATCTGAAGGCACACCAAAACTTTTGAAGATAGTTGGAGAGAAATAAAAAACTGCATTAATGCCAGATAGCTGCTGTAAAGCAAAAAGTGTACATCCAATGAACATCACTGCAAAATGCTTTAGTAGTTAAGTAATCATCTTGAAGAAACAATTATGCATTGTTGTACAAAAATAACTGTACATAAAGTTTCTCACACACCTTTGAAATGACGACTGTAGAGTGACTTTGAAAATTTGATTGTATCAGACTCATCGCCTCTGTCACATGACAATTCGGCTATTGCAGGTTTCACATGTATCCCACCCAAGAGCTTCTCAAATTCAGCTACAGCTTCAGTACGCCTTCCTCTCTGAAAAAAAGCCAAAAATTTGTAAGTGCCTCTCTGCACAAATAGCCTTGATCAATCCAAAACGACAAAGGACAAAAGGCCAAGAAGGCTGAGATTGTCTTGGTTTTCTTAGTATAAATAAATCGCTCAATGTTCAATAATAAATAAAAATGAACATATAAAAAAGTCTTTCTTTCTCTTCATAAAGGCTAGTCAGGAAACTAAATAACTCGCATCAGTCACAATAGGACTGTGGAAGGTGAAATGAACACAGTTGTTTGATCATAAGTCGACTAGTAATAGTCCCTTCCAACTAATATCTTCGTAACTATGATCAGGATCCAAACATTTCTATTTATTCATTCCACTAAATAAGCTATACCTCAATCAAAGAACAGAAAGAAAGTCAAATGCGGTACAAAAAAGTGACTGGATCAGTTTATTTGAAATTCAGGTTATTATTGATTGACATGAGAAAGTATATAACCTTGAAAAGCCAATGAGGACTCTCGGCACAGAATTCCATGGCAAAGGCAAGTATTACTGCAGGAATGGCGGATACCCAAAAACAAATCCTCCACCTGAGAACATTATTCCATATGAGATGCTACCTTTAAAAACACAGCAGAAAAGAATGAAAAATCTGGAACTGATAAACAACTCCAGAGACAAATAATGCAATCTGAGTTAAACTCCCAAAAGTAATAAACAGTTCATACCAACCCACTATCTCCTTGGAAGGGAATCCAATAAATAGAGCACCCATAATTCCAAGACATGTTGCAATCTGAGTTAAGCTCCCAAAAGTACCCCTTATAGTTGGAGGTGAAACCTACAAATGAAAATGGGTACTTGTAAGTAAGTATTCAGGAAAAATAAAATGATCCTTACAGTTGAAAATAATGTGATCCCTAATGTAAAAAAGTAATGGTTTTATAATCTCACATACCTCGGTTACATAAAGAGCTGCAACAGGAGGGCCAAGTCCCATCCCAGTGCCAACAAATAACCTCCCGAGAAGCATACCCCACAGGCTTTTTGTTGTTGCACTACAAGATTTGTGATTAGTAATTTCATAGCTTTATCTGCTGTTATACTTTGCAAACTAAAGCAAGATATACAACAACAACAACAAAAACAACAAAAAGAAAAGAAAAGAATAATGAAGAGGAGCTCCCTGTCACTTCATATTATTATTAGAGTTATAAAACTATCTTTCTCAGTTTCTTCTATTTTTTCCCCTACTCAGATCTGAGTTCTATTTTCAAATTATGGATACCATAAATAACTGTGAGCGGATCCAAATTTTGGGCAGATAATAGGAGATCTCAACTGTTTGACAAAGTCTAGGTCCTGATAGAAATAATGAGGCTAAGACTTAATGGCGTTGGATGTTTTTGCGGTGTTAAGATGCTTCTGGCTAGAGAAGAATGCCCTAAATTTGAAAACCTCTTTATCTGTTTGATTGTTCGCAGGATATAATGGTATTTTGGCTTCCCTTCCTTGTTCAGCTTAATGCCTCTTTGAAGGAATTTCCTTTCTAGACTTCTAGGGAGACTAAGGAGCTTTGTTGTACAATTGACTTTTCTGGTTTCTTGTTTTGCTGAGCTTTTTGCTCTGCTTTTGTTTGTATGGAAGTCCCTCCTGCTCTGTACTTTACCATCTTCATATAATTTCTTCTTTTCTATCAAAGAGAGAACATTGAGAGTCCAGCTTGAACATAGATTCAAAGGATTAATAAATGAATAGAGTCAAATTGAGTGATGAGTAACCCAAGATAATTGATAACACCAACTTCTAGCTGAGAAGTAGCAAGAATGATTAAATTTGTCAACATATTCCAAGAATTGCAGGAGATCAAATTAACTAAAACAATTAGAACGTAATTACGCTCTGCTTTATCATGCACTATAAAAGGAAAAACAAAAACAAGAAGGAAATTAACCTCTCGCCCCCATGGAGCAACCAAGCTACATATTATTAGCTCGGGTAGAAATTGTCAGCTAACAGCAGAGCTTTTATACTTTCTTCGCAAACAATAAATTTGTTTTATAGAACAACATTGGATATAGCTACAAAAAATAAAAGAAATTACACAGTAAATACCTCATTGATGCCCCAATGATCATAGGAAAAGCAGATAACTGGAAAGCCCTCCTGCGTCCAACACCATCCGCAATCCACCCACTGAAGAGAGACCCCGCAAAAGCCCCTCCTAGACATGTACTTACGACAAGACCTTCATGAACATCAGATGGAAAAGAAGTACATCAATTTTCTAGATAAGTACAACAAGAAAAACAAATATCTTATCTCAACCAGATAAGTACCTTCAGCCATGGTATTCCCACTAAAGCCAAGGTCTAAGGAAATGCTTTCCAAGGTTTCATTGACTACTCTGCATCAGCAACGTTAAGAAGAAAATAGATCATTTTTGCACAACAGAATTTACTGGCATAAGGAAAATGAAGGAGGTTATGCTTCAAAGGACATACCCAAGGTGGTAGCCAAATAAGAAAGAAGAAATTGAAGCCACTAACACATGCCGCAAAGATTTCCGCCAGGAAGGTTTACCATTCAGTAAACGTACTAAGCCATGAAGAATGAAATTCTTCGTATCAGAAACATCAAAATATAATAATTTCTCTAATAGAACATCTAAAGTCTTGCTATTTCTTCAACATTTTTTGCAAAGACACACGAAGAAATATTATTAAAAGAGAAAATGGAGAGATATAAATTGGTGGAAGTGCAAGATATATTTCAAACGAAGCAAAAAGAGAGAATAAGAAGAAAAGGAACACAGTGACTAATCATCTGCAAATCCCTAATTCGTCAATATTTTCTCTTCCCTTGAAAGGAAACCACATTGGGTCAACATAGAGTAAATGAGATAGGAGCTTACTGTTCATTGAGTTGTTAAACAGAGTTTCCTAAATATACAAGTCAGGTCACGCATTCTAATGCATGCATGTCTGTATGAGCTTTCTTTTCTCACACTCACTTCATATCAAACAAAAAATCACAATTAATGAATGAAGTTACAGATTGTACACTCCATTTTTATGCGTACTTCAGAAATTAATATTTATTGGCATATGTGACCAGAAAAGAAAATTATATGTGTTCTTCAGCATGATCTTCATGAAAATACAGTGACACGCAAACGGAAATAAATGATTCGGTCAAAAATTTTGCCGAACTGCTAGACTAAAATTCATTTTAAAGAAATGGTTCCCTTCTTCATTTCCCCACAAGAGTTCCCTTCTTCATTTCCCCACAAGAGTTCACTTCAAGATGCTATATTCATTTCCTTTGTTATATTGGATATTATTGACAACTAATGAAAATCATCACGATACAATAATATGCCATTTTACGATTTTTTTTTTTATTTCAAAAGAAAAGTGGCAACGAATAGGGAAGCTAGAAGAACAAACTGGAAGGTACCCGAACTTTCTCCTCTATCGTATGCAGTTATGTGTTCCCTGGACAACACTCGCTGCCTTCCCCGCATGGTGAAGTGATATATATAGCTTCCCCAGCCTTATAAGGAAGTACCTTCTCGAATGATTTAACACCAGAACAAACAGCAACCAAAGAATTCATCAGTTAGCACACAATCAACAAGATCGAATTCAAGAGTTTGTTAAGAGATTTCTTGAATTTACTTGTGAATTTCATTTGGCTAACATGTGAAAACATAGGAGCAGAATAGTTTTCCCCTATTATTAATTATCTCCAAAAACGGGCAGCCTGAAATTAGACCATTTTTGTTCAAAGCAAGAGCAATACAAAATGTCAAAATTAGAAATCTCTCTACAAACACAAAACTGGAAACCACATACAGAAAAACAAATACCGACCCTGACCTAGTCATGAACATTGATACATCAATATTTGAAAATTTGAGTGGTACCTTGTTATCCTGCAAAAACTTTGAACGAAGTTTCAAATGTAGAGAGAAATACAATTTCCTGCCATGGAATGCAAAGAGGAGAGTGTGAAGAAGAAGAAGAAGAAGAAGAAAAACGGTGGTGGTGGCTAGAACGCGCCGAGGAGGTCAGTGGCAGCCTTGTTCAACTAAAAAGTGTGAGGAAGAAGAAAGAGAAACGGTTTCGATGGAGGTTGCTAAAATGCGAAGAGCGGGGAAGAGGAAGAATAAGATTCGGCATTTGGGGGAAGAGTGATTCAAGGAAGAAGCAAAGCGAGGGAGCCACGAAACCCATAGTAATAACCATTATTGGCTGTTAACCAACACACGGAGCTCTCCCGGGCTAACACCTGTTAATTTACGTTCATGTTAGAACAAGGTGAGTGATAATCTGCTGCACTCTCATTTCTCCGCCAACTTTACACCAGTAACCTGATGATGTCATGGCACTTAATGTCAGGTCTACGTGTCAGTTAGTGACGCATTACTGGCACTCTAATGATAACAGTGTACTCGTGTTATTTATCAATCACATTTTAAAAAAATTATTTAATTTTATTTATAAATTACGATATAATTTTTTAAATAATATTTACAAAATATTTTTAAAACAATTTTTTATGAAAAAATAATATAATATTACTTTTTAAATTTATTATATAACAACATATTTAAAATTTTACACATTTTTATTTTTAATATTTTTATATTAAAATTAATAAAAATAATTTATAAATAAAATCAAGTGAGTACCTGTAAATGACAATTACGCTTCTTACGAATGAGGCAGAAATCAGCGATGCACAGGTACGTCAAACGGGTAAAACAAAATACAGGTATCAAGATTTTTAACTATTACAAAATTGATGAATAAAAATATTTTGAAGAAATATAGCAACTTGAGAATTATTATAATCATTTCATAAAATTCATTAATGTGAGAAAGATTGTAAAAAATTTGAGAACAATTATTATATTTTACGACACTGTATTATCATTTACATATTTTAGGAGAATTGTTTTGTTATTTTTCAAAAAATATAAATGTTGATCCTATACTTTTTAAAAAAGTATGTCTTTGTATTAGTTCTTATATTTATTTCCTATTGCTCTTTAAGTTTTACTCCCTTCCTTAAAAAATTTAAGATATTTTTAAAAAAATTATATATTAAAAAATATAAGACATTTTTAGTAATTTAAGGTATAATCAATATGATTTTTTAAAAATGTACATAATAAATAAATTATTTTATATTTATTTTAAATTGAAACACACTATTAAATGAGGGTAAATATAAAAAAATTATATTAGTTTAAAAACAATTAGCTATTTTATTAAAGGTAAGATTAGATTAAAAATGACTTATATTTTTTAATGAATGGAGCATATATTTGCAATGTCAGTCGCTATATTTTTAAATATAATTTATGAATGGTACTTAACATAAACATAAATTTAGACATTATTATTTGTTGTGCTAACTTGTTAAAATTATATTGAGTTATATAAAAAATAAGTAGCAGGAAACAAAACAAGGGCATTTAGTCAGAAATTTTAAACTTGCAATAGATAAAGTTTCATAAAGAAGACACAATAGTTAAGGCAAACTAACAGAAAGGTCAGTGGTCATTTTGGATAAACATTGTTCAACACTTCAAATCTTCATAATGTTATCAACTTAATAATAAAATTGTCAGAATTATATACGCATCAACAAATTTAATTTTGCCAGCGATAATAAAGACTAATGTTACAAATTAATGGAACTTAAGGGAATTAGAAAGGGGAAAAAAGTATGTAAACTAATACTAAAATATACTACTACATGGTCAAACGGTTGTATTTTCCCAAAGTGACAAAATTTATATACTTAATCTTATATACTTAATATATTTATATCTAATTAAATTATGACATGTGGATCCTAATATATTAGTTTAATCAATAACAAAAATTTATTATAAAATAAATAATTTATAAAGGATTCACATGTCTTGATTTTATTGAATATAAATACTTTACATATATAAAGTTAAGTATATAAATTTTTTCATTTCCCAAATACGTTGATTCATATTGGTTATAGAACATATCTCAGTCGTAAATATTGAGAGATAAATTATAAATATTGAGAGTTATGAATCTTGAAAAATGAGTGTTAAATCATACCATGACTTCTTAGGAGATTGAAGTTCTCCTTAATCACATCTGCATGAAAACAATAGTGGGAACTAGATGCCCTTGGCCTCTCGGCTCTAAAGTAATTCAATTCTACATCTATGTAAAGAATTGGTTTTGGATAATTTACAAATTATATCTTAAGACTTACAACTAAATTGTTAAGTAGTTATAATTTTATATTCTAAGATTTACAACAAACAGAACTATATTTCCAACTGAATAAAGGTATTTTCATTTTTCATACATCAAGCTATTTTTGGTTTTGAAAGTAACAATAATATTTAGGATAAAAGATCATAAATTTAAAATATGACAGTAAATTATTACTGATATTTTTTTGAGATTATGATTTTTTTTTTAAAATATTGCAATGGCAAGAATATTTTCTTTTGAAAGTAATAATAATATTCAGGATAAAAGATTAAGTATAACAGGGTTTTTAAGAATATCAGTTGTAGCTATTCAGATTGACTAAGCCTAAGATTAATAAGAAAATCATTGTCAGGTCTCCCATAACCATTCAAATATTCAAAAGTCCCACCAAATTCATAAATAGTTCTCATGTCCCATGGGACTTAATTGTAAATAAGGTTGAGGTCATAATTACCAACCCATAGTTAACCATCCTCGACACCTCAGGAAATTAAAAAAAGCTTCAGCGCATCTCCTCCTCCAGCAGCTATCCGATGAGTTCGATCATTTGCATCTCCTTCGTCTCCTCCCTCCTCCCTAAGAAATCGATCTAGTCTGTCCTCCTCTGTATTAATTAAGTGTCATGATGAAGTGACCATGATAGGAACTGCCATGCGGATTATTTTTTGCTTACATGGATGCTGAAGTGGGACGAAGATTTTTGTATGGATTAGTATGAACAGTAGAAAAAGGAGGAAATGACTCGGTGGTTGTAACTTGAATCTTATTTACATTGAAGTCCCATGAGATTTGAGAATTATTTATAAATTTGGTGAAACTTCTGAATATTTAGAATGGTTATAAGAGAGCCGATAGTGATTTTTCCAAGATTAATCTAATATGACTTTTAGGCACCAAATAATTTGATAAAAAATAATTTAATTTTATAACATTTGAGAAGCCTTCGTAGCATCAAAATATTTAAATTATAATTGTAAATAGCATGAGCACTAATTTTAGAAAAACATAAATGATAGAATTTTGATCTTGACATCCAAAATACTTAAATACCATTATTAACGTAAATAGAGTACTTTACTATTATTTACTCTAGCTACTAGCTATGGCTGCAGGTCCAACGTGATCATAGTAATTAGAGTAGGACTACTCAACCAATCACCTTGGGTTAAAAATAACAACAATAAACTTATGTAAAAAAAGTAATCAAACTAAGTAGATGTTTAAATTGCACGTATGAATAATGAATAGTATATTTGTTATAAATTTTACATACGTATTGATGAGTATAAAATGAAAAAAATAAAAATAAAAATCCTCAACTCAAAATCTTTAGAATGTCATTGACTGACTATGAGAACGTTGAATGAGGTATAAAGAGATTGAATATACATGATACATTTAGCAGGGGTAGTTTCGTCTATCCGTTACTATGACAAGAACAACAAAAAATATACATCTTCCATTCAATTGATCCGACCAAACAATCCCCAGAGACCTAAGGCATTAAACTCCAATACAAAACTATCCTATTGACATCACACAAAGCTCAAGATATGACGATCCCAAATAATTTCCTTTCCCCACTGTGTTTATCCCTATAAAGCTATATCGGCTGATGAGTTCATAATTTGGATCTGTAAACGAATGTATTGACATTAAAATTCCAACAGGATCAAATAAATAAAAATTATAGACAACAGGGGCATCTAAGATAAAATAAATGCTACTCCATTAAACGAAACAAAATACCTTGTTCACAAGCAAGTCAACTTGTTCCCTGTACATTTCCTTCAAGTCCACAATATCCGCACGAAGTTCCTCCAGCTAGGAACATTCAACTACTTTTAGATATACACACCATTTTTTATGATTCCATATTATTTTTCAAAAAAAAAAAAATGTGTGCAGGGAGGCTTGACAATCATAAGTCATAAAATGCTTAAATCTCAGTACATCCAGACTCAAACAACCTTCATTTCCTCGTATAATTTTCCCCTTTTCATATATGGGAGCAGGAATGATTGTATCGGCACTGTGAATTATAAATTTAAATATGCACAATATTATGGAAAAAGAAATCATCATTATGGCTACAGTTATCTTAATATATTATGCCCTAAGCTATCTAACCATACTTAAAGCTCGATCAGGAGATCAATACCATCCAAAAGAGAAGCACGCAATATTGAAAAACTTCCAGTCAGGGGTTCTTTCCAACAAAAGGATTATAGGATTTTTTTCTGGTTATTTTTCTGTTTCGTTTTATTGATGAAAGAAGAGAGGAATAAAGACGTGCCATGGTCGTTTGGTCTGTGATGTAATTCAACATAAGAAAACAATTACTCCTACCGGTCCTTGTTATAGAATGTCTTCGAGAAGAATTCTTTTGTCGTTAATATAAGTCCCTTTGCAACAGTTTGTGTAACATTAAATGCGTTATTCCCAACATGCCCTTCTCAATTTCCATTGAATAAAAAATGTTTTTTTTATGGTATTTATTAGGGGTGAAAATGGAAATCAAAGCAATTTTTATACAATTTCAATGTAACTCATTTTTATTAGTTTTATTGGGTTAGTTATAAATGATTTATAATAAGGACTCGAGGGATTAAAGTGAAGATGCAAATTATTTTAAAATTTGCAAGAGCGCAATACTACTGTTGAGCGAAAGCAACACCAAAGCGTGCCTTAGAATGTACCTCCTCATCACGTTCACCCATTAACTCCAAAGCAGCAGAGTGCCTCTTCCTCAGTGATTCTAGCTCTGCTCGTAGACCAGGCAACGTGGCAGCTTCTCCACGTAGCTTTTCACACTGCAGTGAATGCAAGCAAGTCATACAGACAAGCAAGGACATCAGAGTGTCAATAAATTTAAAATCGGAAGTAGAAACTCACCTGTTCTGTCATTTTGACCAACTCCTCCGCAAGAGAATCACGTATAGATTCCATTGATGCCTGAAATTATTGTAGTTAAAAATATAACTTATCAAGATTGGCATCTTATCTTACGAAATAAATTGTATAAACCATATCTAACGACAGGTAATGGTTAGCTAATTTAGCCCATTCTTACACTCTAGGTTATCATATATATTATATAAATGACAGGTTGAAGTATAAATTATGTGTATTTCAATATCCTCCACTAGGATGTGGACATTTGCTAGATTAGTTGTCTAGGGGGTTAAAAACTTATGCATGGTGTAACCCTCCCTCCCTCCCTCCCTCGTGGTTTACACAAGCTTACGGGGGTTGAGTCCAGGGAGCTCATTAAGAACAAGGCAAGTCTTATAGCTCAAAAAGCATTTAGAGGTAGTAACTTATTACCCAGACAAAGTCTTCCCATTTAGATATCTTTACTTACTAAACTAACATTTATTGGTGGCTTCTAGTCTCTTTTGAATCAAATATATATTAATCCACGGAATCGGGACAGAAAATCATACCAAACGTGACATATATGATGCAAGTTCACCCTCCTTTTGACGCAATGCAGCTTCAAAAGAATTAGTTGTCATGCTCTTCATATAGTAAGGACTCAAATTATACTCTCCAGGGTTTCTTCTCTCAGAGAAACTATCAGATGAGTCCAAGGATGCCTGCAGAAAGTAGCTTTCTTCCATGCTCCCAAGGGAGCTAGCATTAGAGACTTTCCGAGATAGGCTGCCTGCATGGTGAAGTATTTTATAGTAAAAATCATTTACACGTAACGTGAAATGAATCAGAGCATCATACCATTTTCAAAAGCATAGTTTTTCTTCATATTAGGAGTTTGATCCGATGATAGAGCAGAATTTACACGGGCACTCCTCTCCAAATCTGCTCGAGCAGCCTTTTCTCTTTCTATCTCCTGATGAAGATGAAGATGAAGAATTTAACTCAATAAACTTGACACAATAATCAGAAAGGTTATATGGATGGCTGGAACTCGACAAAGTACTCTGCAATACCAGAACTGAGCTTATTCTTTCATATAGAATTCCTACATCATATAAATGACCAGATGCTCTGAATTAGGCAACAAATTAGTAGCTTCCAGCTATTTTGCTGTCAATGACATCCTCAATACTGGCTCATAATAATGTCAACCAGGGATGTTTTTTTTAGCCCTCACCAGATCCAAAATGCAAGTCAGAAACTAGCAATAGCAATTCAATGATTCACAAAACAAGAAGTCTAAAACCCTCCTCCCTTCTATCTGTCTTAATGCTTCTCTTCCCCTTCCCCAGTCCCCACCGATCAAGTAATCCTTCCTTATTCACGGTTTTTTATGCATTTAAAATAATTCCCTCCATCTCAGTGCTCTTCAATTTTACTGTGCCCCCATTTAATTCTTCAGAGGACAGCATTTGATTTTTTGAAACTTCTTCCACAAAAATACGACATATTATTCCCAATAATACTATTTTAAATCAACCTTTCAGAAAACATTAAAAACACATGACTTTTTTTTTTAACCAACAATTAAAAGCACATCACTAAAGCAAGGAATTTCTTATGAAATATGTACAGTTTGATCTAGCTCTTGAATCTTTAACCTATGAACACATATTCTAGTAAGGTTGCATTCCTGTTTACTAAGATTGAGTGACGAGGTGATCAGAATTCAACCATTTGTTACAGATTAATTCCGTTACGTAAGCAATTAGAAATGACTAAGAAAAAACTTAGTGGAAGAGTTGAGAGTTTCATGGAACACAAATAACGACAAAGACAAATCCCTGAGATAAGCTTTACTTGCTGTAGAAGTTCCCGATGCCTCAATGACTCCTGCAACTCTTGCTTGTGCTTCTGCCGCAGTTCCCTAATTTCGTCTTCAAGTTGTCTCAGACGACCTTCTTGAGTATCAGCTTCCTCCTTTGCTGCAAGGTATTCCTGCCTGTTTTCAGCTGCTCTTTGTCGCTCCTTTTCAAGGGACCTACTTAACTGAACTTGTTCTGCCCGAAGGCAAGAAATCTGTAATCCACCACTAGCGTAAATATAATATATGAATAATCTTAAAAAAAAATTATTGACATTAATTTACTCAAGAAATAACAGAACCTGAGCCTCAAGGACATTAATTCGAGACAAGGTTTGAGATAAACGTTCATTCATGGATCGTTCTCTTTCCTCTGCAGCAGTAGCTTTAGCCTCTGCTTCCTGCAAAATCAATAGATACTAATGTATATACACATAATACTATCAAGAGGAAAAGTTTCAAAAGCTAAAGTCGGGAAATATTCTAGTGACCTGAACTCGAGAATTAAGGGTTCTCTCAACAGTAGCCCAAGCTTCTGCCCTCCTGGCATTTGTTTCCTGTTATGAAGATGCAAGTCAAATACCAATCTCTTGTGGCTGAACTCAATAACTGACTGCAATACAACTTTTGTAGATAACGATTCCAATTAAATCCGACAAAAGAATGTTCACCTGTATGGCTTCAATTTGCCTTAAAAGTGGCCTAGTTGATTCGGGCACTTGAGCAATCAATTCTTCACATCGTCTTTCACTTTCCTAGATACAATATTAACCAAATTACACAAGACTACAGAAAGGAGCAGAATTGTTTTTGCAACTTAAATCATATCATGGGTTTAAATGATAACCAATCAAATGATATGCAGAAAGTAAGGGAGCACACCTGATAACGCTTTTGAAGATCTTCAATGTCCCTTCGCAGCATGTCCTCTTTAAACACTGCCTGAATATGTAAAATGGAACATTAGAGTCAAGATCATTACAAAGTCAATTTAGTGAAAAGAATGACAACCAAATAGCACAGCAACCTGCTGTTCTTTTTGGCTTAACGTTTGCCTCAATTCTTCAAGTGCCTGGATCAGCATTGATTCACGTTCCTCAGCCTCTCTTAGACGACTCTCCAGCTCAATCCTTGCTTCTGTGTTGATGCGTGTTTCTGCTAATGCTTCAGCCTCCTTAGCAGCAGCCAAAGCATTGGTGTAATAATCTTTCTGAGCTGCAAGTTCTGCTTGGTGTTTCTCTATTGTTTCTTGCAACAAACTTTCTGTAGCCATCTTATCCCTCTTGATACTTTCTACTTTATTCTCCTCCACCTTAAATACATGCCATTAACCAAGCCATAGAGGCAAAAATTAAATTTATTTACTAATGAATTTGTGGATCATCAAAACTTGTGAACTCCAGATAAAGGAATTTGGTGTTGTCAGCGAAGGAGGAATGTCATTATATTCCAATCAAATGTATTTCTAAGAGCTTAAGAAAATTAAAAACAACCATTCATGATATTAGGTTCAGCAAGCCAAGAATATCGGTTTATTACATGGTTAATTTACTTATTGATGGTACAACAACAACAACAACAAGCCTTTATCCCACTAGGTGGGGTCGGCTACATGGATTGCAAGACGCCATTGTGCTCTATCATTTATTAATTTACTTATGATGGTACTCTGGTAAAATAAGAAACTCTATCCCAAAGGCTAGCTGTTGAGATGGAAGAACCAACCCACTTAAATACCTATTGAGCATTTCATACTACTCAATGTAGGACTTGGTATCCCATACTACCAAGTCTCCATCAATTAGCCCCCCATGAAAAGCCGACGTCTAGCGGTTGCACTCATTGGCACTTAAATTGGCTTCCTACCGGTCAGAACCTTCCATAGGTAGCTCTCTTCAGGACCACCAACAACCAAGCTCTAATACAAATTGATGGGTACCTAAGTAGGATGAGGAACCCTACCCCAAAAGCTAGCTGTTGAGGTAGGCAAACCAACCCACTTAAATAACTCATTAAGCATCTCATACTATCCAATGTGAGACTTGATATCCCATACTACCCAGTTTCCATCACTTATTTTCATTCAATTTATGATTTAAAGATGCAAAGGGATAGACAAGAGGTAACAAGTGAATCAAACTCATAGCAAAGTCAAAAGATGAAAAAGTGCCATGCCATCTATACTGGATGAAAGTTCTGAGTTCTCATTTTCCCTTGTGGTGGAAGAACAATATTTGTTCAGAATATTTAAAAAAAAAAACAAGAATATTTACCAGCTAATAATTTCAACAAAGCTTTTGGTTGAAACTTTACCTGAAGTTTAGTGGTCAAACCTTTCTTCTCCTCCTCAAGCTCTCTAATCTAGCTTTCATAAATAAAGTAGGTAAAGGCTTTATTATGATACGTAATCATTGAAAAGGAATTAAGTTTGAGGAAAGTTGCAATAAGCAGCCTGCATACCTGAGCCCTCAGTTTCCTGATTGTAGATTCCTGAGCAGCCTGCTTTTTGGAAAGCTCTTCCCCTGAGATATGAGAAAATCTAATATGAAAAGCGGTTCATTTAACACTCTACCAAATGAAATGTTTATTGCTTTAATGGAGAAAGTTTTAACTACCAGGTTCCGAAAAGAAATGTCGTTTGGAGGACAATATACATTTTACAGCCAAAAAGGAAAAAGTTACAGTCAGCACACAATTTTTTTATAATGCAAGGCAAGCCTTCGCCATTCTATCCTCAAGATCTTGTCCAAAAGAAAGAATATAAACCAAAAATAAAATGCCAACATCAAAGCTGTTGATGATCATGCCAAAGGTTTCCAGCAAAACATGCTTGCAGGACAACTACCCCACAATTGCATCAATAGTTCAAATGTATCAATACTAATAAATTCATTCATCTGTCCTCCTATTAAAAAAAAATCATTAAATTGTCCTATTAGCTAAAGCATTTGGGATGAAATGGTCCCCGACAATGACATAATATCATAACCTCTATGATAAAGTGGTCAGTGGTCAGTGCACCTCAAATCAAATATTTTCCAATCCCAACCAAGGGAACTGTTAAAATTATTGTCATTAATTAAAAAAATTGATGTTGTCATCAGAATATTGTCTGTGTACAAGATTCATAGAGATATTTGCAACACAATGAATGTCCTATATCTCTCTTCTATAGATACCAACTGTTGTCCTACAGCATGGTCAATTCCCCAAGCCAACTAAGTTTCAAACACAAGAGCCCTAATCACCAATATAATGCCATAGATTTTGTCACTCTAGACAATGTTCACATATCTAATAGAGTCCTTCCAGACACACAAACCTTCTAAGCATGTCGATAACAAAATTAGATCCGTACACAGTAAAGCCTAGATGATATCATGATACAGTTTTTTTTTTTTCCAATTATTATTTCAAAAGTAGATCATGTAGATATTATTTTCTCAATTATTTAGGATTAGCCCCAGACAGCTCTACCTTCGGCCATAACTTGATTAATTATTTCATCCTTTTCCTTCAAGAGAGCAGCTGCATCACTTTTTTTACTCTGCTCTCGACGAAGAGTATCCCTTTCCTTAGTGAGAGCATACACCTGCAATTATTCAAAGGAAAGGAATAAAAACCAGAACAGTTGTAGCTGAAAGCCAGAAATAGGTAATATCACAACCCAAAACATGTGCTCAGCCCAGGTCATCCACTCTGATAAATTATATTCTTCAAGAAAACTTGATGAAATGCTAATGTGAATTTTCAATGCTTTTATTGAAACTCAATTCACTTGTTTCCATCAAAACCAGATGCTCGACATATGTGCTGATATTGCAAGAACTCTTCTGATACACCTTTATTGTACTATAAAGTACAGTGTACACCCAAATAAAGTGACATGCAAGGTGAATATTAAAAGATTCTCAAAAATTGACCTCCACAGAGTTGCCAAAAAAATAAAATTTTAAAAAGAAACTTCAGATAAACCAATTTTTCTAGAGGGACAATGTGAAAAATACACCTGGAAGTAGCTGGATATGTTGTGAATTTCTATTGTGAAAACGTAAACAGATGATCATCGATAAAATGTAATTCCTGAAGCCTATATACATTTTTTTTAACTTTCATATTTAGTTGACATTATAAACAACATTGTTAAATAAGCACAACAGCGAAGAGTTATGAGGAGTTAAACCTTTCTCTCAAGAGTTGCAACCCTCTGATGGTATTCCTCTCGAAGAGTTTCAATTTCAGCCTCATTGGAGTTTCTCTGATCCACAATAAGTAGACACAAATATGAACGTGTTGAAGAAAGTAAGAAGCAGGATAAGCAAGAAACATACAGTAAAATGAGAAAAAGTATGCCATCATATTTCAAAAAACACAGGGATTTCCTCAGAAACTCACAGGAAAATTGAAAATCGACTAAAAGAGAAAAAGGGCAAAGAACAAACATGCCAAAAAAAAAAGGTGGCAATATAATAATTTTTAAAGGCTGCAATACATATCTATGATTGATGTACACCACACTAGAACTGTGGTAGAACTGACCAAGAGAATCAAGAAAATAAACCTAAAGAGAGCTAACAGGCTGGACTATCAACATGCGACACATCATTTTATTAGCTCACTTTAAAACCTAAAATTCCAGCCCAATTAGCCATCTAATCACTTTATTGCTTCCATTGTGACAAACTGTCTCTTGGAAAAAGTCAAATGGCACACCATCAGCATCTGTTGTCACATTTGTGGGGGAAAACAAAAATAGTTTAATAGAAAGGACAAAATACAAGGATTACATAAAAATGCCTTGGCAAATTGAGAATTATAATGAAAAATAAAGACAGATAAGTAACTTGAAACTTGCCACCAACTACATTGTACTAAAATGACATATTGTACCTTTAAATCCTCAATCACTGATTTTAATTGTTCATTTTCATTCATCAATTTTGCAATCTCATCAGCTTTAGCCTGCAAAGAGAATTAAAAAAATTTCAATATGACAAAGATGAGGGAATGAATAGCAACATCACACCAAGCATTCACCTGCTTAAATAAATAGGAACAAGAAAAAAGATTGTGAAAACTCCATTCTGGTGATAAGGTAAAGCCTTCATTTTTTTACAAGTGGAAGCCAGAGTTTAGCAGGTTACAGGTGAAGAATAAAGCATGCAACAATATTAAGAGGTAGTCCAATGGGAGCTTAATTAGTTCAACAACTATGAAAAGTAAAAGTTTAAATCAAAACATGATTCAACATCATGAACTCAATCCGGATTGCATCAAGAAAAAAATAAAACATACAGATTGATTCCAGAAGGAAATAATTTATTGTATCTCAATCAGTCCATAAACAGAATTAGAAAAATTCTATAACAAAGTGGCATAAACTCTTAAACATAACTTAGCATTCTTATTAATTTTTCATGTGATAACATTTTGGCATGCCATGTCCTCAACTAAGGAGAAAAAGACGCCCAAATAAGACTCTTCAATGACAAGGGCCACCTAGAGAACAAGTGATTGTGATTCTCTTGCTTGAACAATCACAAGACCTGAGAACTACTTTTTCATGGAGTCTTGACACTTGGGACATAAAATAGGCAATACCGAATCTATTTGTTGCTATTATTACCATGATTACATGCATCACAAAATATACCTGAGCTTGTCTTGCAGCACCTTGTAGGGCATTTTCCATCATTTTCATCTCCCTCTTCACTCTCTCCAGTTCAAGCACAGAATCTGATTCTAACATGGTTGTGACAGAACTCAAACACCGCTCTTTCATGTCAGATTCATCATCATTGGATAAGCATTCACCTTCATTTTGATTAGCAGTTGCTTCATTTTCATGTAAAACTAAAGCAGGTGCCACCTCAGACGATGATGGAATAGAACTGGATTGACCAACACTATCTATTTCTTCAGATGCCACAGTATGTAACACGGAAGGTGTGTTATCATCCCCTTCCTTGCTGTCACTGGACGACTCAGGTTGAAAAACAGAAACTCTTTCCATACTCTCCTCTGCTTTCAACCTCCCTTCTTCTCTACTCTCCTCACTGGTTCTCTCTTGAAAATTCTCCCCCACTTCAATAAGACCATCTGACTCACCAGGCTCAAAAGTACTACCTGCAGCTTGATCCTCCCGAAAATGAACAGGCATGTGTTGTAATGTCTCTGGACTTGTAGAGGCTTTAACTTCAGCAGTCTCACTCTCTTGAGGTTCATTGATAGAAACAGCACTCTCAACATTCTGAACAATGGATTCAGAAAGCTCTGCAGGCACTTCTGGTAAGGGAAGTTCTGACTTTCCTTCTTCTGGATTCAATGTGGCCGTTCCATCTATTGACTCTCCATGGTCACCATGTTCCTCTACCTCATGTGCTTTATTTTCATCCTTGGCAGTACTTTCTTCAGTTTCAGTTCGGGTAGCCTTATCAGTTTCAGTCTGGACTGCCTTATCAGCTTCAAGGCTTTCTATACCCTCAGCTACAGATAGATGATCCAGAGACTGAGACTGTTTCAATGATTTCACAGTTCCAGGTTCCTGTTCAGAGGATTTAAGTTCCCCAGATATTTCTTCAGTATTTTCCTCACTTTTATTCCCCATAAATGCCATGACAGGATTAAATAGCGTTTTCCTGTCTGCCACTAAAGGCCATGAACCTGCTGCTGGAAGACAGAAGGCATAGCTTGGTTACCGTGAAACCATTATGAACATCATTTAAAAATACTCAAGCTGTATCAAAATCAAACAATTTCATTGATCCAACCACCCAAGATAATTTTCTAACATAATGACCCCTGACCTAATTATACCTCCCAGTTCGTACTTGTTAACAATCTCGATCACAATATCAAATATTCAATTATTAGAAAATTCATTATGAAAAATAATTAAGAGTGATAAGAACTTGAATAATACATTTACCTTCATGGCTGGATTCAGACTTCTCTTCGAGACCAAGAGCAGTATCGAAATTCTTTTCAATATTCTTCACACTCTCCTGAAGCTTATTCACCGCGCCCGCCAAATCAGGAAAGTTCCCCCATGTATTTTTACCACCAAACCACGCCATCTTCAAACTACAAGCTGTATAAAGGACAACTCAACTTGCGCATACATAAATAACGAGCAATATAACAGATCAAAAGCAATCAAATCTAAAACATGAACGAAAATAAATTATCACACTGCGCAGATAACTCGTGTAAGGAGATGCATAATGGAAAAATCATAAATCTGTAATCTGTTAAGACCAAAAACGCAGATCGACGAATCAAATTCGTGAAGGAAAACAATTGGAGACGAAAGCAAACCTTGTAGGCCCGCAAGAAAGTCACAGTCTTGGATCCAGGTATCAAATTATGGCTTCAACTAATTGAGCTCATAGAATACAATAAAATTCACGAGTTTCATTCACAAAAGAAGAATAAAGAAATAAAAGAATAAAAATAAGTTAGCACTTAGCAGTGAAATTGTTCTCAAATCACAGTATAATTCGATAATGGAGTGAAGAAGATGTTAGTAACTTCGGGTTCAGGAAGGCTGCAAGAACGGGTCGGGCTTCGGGTTTTCGGGTTGATTTGATGGAATGGAACCATGCAAAACTAAGCGGCGAACTATCCACGGCGAATGGTATGCTTCCCCGATGACTATGATTAACACAACGCCATTGTTGAGCGTACGCCATCGTTTGAGCGTGATGATTATATACCTTTTTCCAACAAATGATCATTGTATTTTTATCGTTAAAGCTTTTCTTCTAGGCTAGGTTTCTTGAGCCTTTAAAAAAAAAAAAAAGAGCAGAGATTAACCCGTGTTTGGCTCGAGACAGCGCTGTCAATTTGATGTGAATCCACGGCCCGTTTAATCTACAAAAGTCTTCTTTGGATAAAAATAAAACAAAATGAGCGTTTGAGAGAGACTGAGCGTTTCCGCCAAAGCTAGTTCAGAAAGTTTTCCACTGACCAATAAGTCTTAAGAGCTGTTTGGTTGAGAGGGAGGGAAGGAGAAAAGGAATTTTTAAAATTTTTTTCTCCTCTATCCTCCAAAATCTCACCTTCCAAATTGGGAGGATCAATCCCTCCCCTCCCCATCCATCCCCTCCTCTTCCCTCATCTCTATCTCCTCCCCTCTCCTCAAATCGAACACAACTTTGGTAGTGGCCATTGGAAAAATTTAAGTTCATTTGGTATGCTGGAATTTGAAACATGAAAATGAAAATGAACTTGAAAAGAGATATGAAATTGAAAAAAAAAACGCTTTTTTGGTATGCATGAATTTGACTTCCATGTAAAATTGAATTCTTTTAAAAATGGTTGAATTGGGCTCCGCGAGGAAACTCATGAAAATGAGATGGGTTCTATGGAAATATACTATTTCAAACAATTATACCCCCATTAATGACATTTTTAGACACATTTTGTAACATCTTGGGAAATTAAAATCAGAATAATTAAGTAAATTTGATGTGATATATAGCTAGAGAAGTCTAATGAGTATGTTTAGTTGTAATTTCAACCTTAAATTCAGGTTCGAAGGAAAGTCGAGTCATCCGGACATCAAAAAATTGAAAAATCTGAAGGAGGGGTATCTGCGCCACATGCCGTAGCATGTACCACCTCCACTGCTACACATATATGACCAGCTGTAAAGAGTAGGCTTGTCTGTGTCATGAGTCGCGGTGCATGGTCAATTTATCTGATAAGAAACACAAAGATCAAACAAAAAGGAGAAAAAAGAGAAACAAATAGGTATTACACTACTAGGGTATGTCATTTTCAGAGGATTTAAAGTAATTTGAATGTGATTACACCTTGGTAAGGCTCCACCCACAACTCATTTTCGATTTCTATACCATTTTCTTAAAGGTTTAAATTAGGGTTTGAGTTGGAATGATAATTTTCAATCCATAATGGCTATAGATCCAATCCCATTGACTTAGATAGAATTAATGAAAGTTGTTTAGGTCATTCAAACCTAATGTTAAAGGTTTTACAAGTTTTTGGTTTGGTGAGTGCCATTAATATCCAAAAATGAGGTTGTTGAAAGTGTTTTAAAATCATTAATGATGGTTTAATGGTTCATTATAACAATATGAGCTAAAGGAACCTAATAAACTCAATGGGTATGTTTGAAAGTGAGTTTGTGATTTTGGTGAGTTTGGAAGGTTGAGCTAGATTGTTGAAACTTATTCAAATAAGGATATGAATGATTATTTTTGTGGTTAAATTGTAAAGTAACTAAAAGTTGGCATCATTCAAGTTTGAGGAGAGTTTTGGAAGTGTATTGTGAGGAGTTCTCAAAGGTTTAAAGTAATTGGAGAAAATTTAACATGTATATTTGCTTGTTAATTAATTATGCATTTAAAGAACTTGTTTATAAATTGTGAGTTAGTTATTAACTTGTTTTTTATGCAATTTGGTAATGTGACAAAATGTGATGTGCAAATTATATACGGATTGGTGGTAATTATGTGAATACATATATGAATATATTCAAAAAGAAAAAATTATGAATTGATGTGTGTGTGTAGTGTGTGATGGGAATGAATTGTGTTGAGCATGATATGATATGAATTATGACAATAGATTTGCATAGTATGTTGATGTGTGCATGTCAGGATCATTTATAGCCAAGTTTCTCCCAGGGAGAAGAAAAGTGATAAAATTCACTTTGGTATTGACATATCATTGGAAGCGGAAGCTAGCCCGACTACTGACTATTGGAATCAAGAGGTAGTCATTGTCCCATTATATTAGGGACTGTTCCACTTGTTTTTCAAGAGATTCAAATATAACTAGTATCCACTGATTCATGAGAAGACTAGCTTAGAGGTAAAACAGCCCATGATTGTTTACATTGGAGGAAATCATGTCTCATAAGTGAGTGAAGTAACCTTAGTTGAGCAACTCTTCATGAGTAAAAGGCTTAATTAATTTGAATTTATAAATATAGCCACTAAATAGCCATCAGTTTCATGTCAAAAGTATCATGAGGGTATAAGGATGGCACTAATCATGCATTTCATATTTCGACCATATGATTTAAAAAGGGGCACATGGTTGTTAGTAGTATGACCCTATATGTGTTCTATGTTTTTACATGATGTGATGATATGTGTTATGCCCCACCATATGGTCATTAGTATTGTGGTCATGACAACCTTTTAAAAAAGATGCAAATTTATGAAAGAATTGTTATTGCCATTTGCATCTAATTGATTGACATACATGTGCATAAGCTAGATCAACTTAGTCACTGAGTGATTATACTCATTTCTTTTTTTTTCAATATTATAAGGAGTAGCTCATCAAACATGATTGGGGAAAATGATTTGAGGCTTAGGATTCTGCTAAGATCCTAATAGTAAGCCTCATGGCATTTTAATTATGTATATTTTGTAGATAATTTTGCCAACTAGGATTTCTTATAATTTTTGACTACTTGCACTACTTATGAAATTGATTGAAATTGTGTATTTTATGTCTTGAGTTATATACAATGTGGTTGTAAAGTTTAAATAAGGTCAAAATGCTAGTGCAAGGAGGGAGTTGTGTAAATGAATAAATATGATGATTTATATGTAGATTTGTGAGAATTTAGCTTGTCTCATGTTTTTGTGATCACGAGATTGAGCATTGAAAAAGTAATATATGTGTTGTTTGGTTGTTGAGGTGTGTTGCACAAGTTCATTATAGTTTATTGAATATAATGTAAGGTTTAGTGTGAACTTTTGGCACTTGAATTGATGATTAAACACCTGAGTTGTGCAATATTGTTATAAAGGAGTGAGTTTTAAAATAGGTGTCCAACTTTTGACTAAAAAATAATTTGGTCATGAAATCAATGTCATTAGCTAGGGTTAGGAGAAAACTCTATGTAGACACTTAAATCATCTCAATCGAATATTGAACGAGAAACGAAGCACATTCTAAGTTAGCCCCAAGTGCTAACAGCAAATCTACTATCATGAATCATAAAATGTGTTGCAGTAAATGACACAGAGGCAATGAGTGGCAGCACATTTGCAATGAGCTTCAACGTACCCCTATCTTTTATGCTAGAATGTGATTTTTCTCAATAAATGCAGATGTTTTAGTTTACATTAGATTTTCATGCTTCTATATGTTTTGTTACAGCGTACCTCTATCTTCAGTGTACCTCTATCTTCAGTGTACCTCTATTTTCAATGTTGTGGCTAATTTCTTGTTTACCTCTTTGTTCATCTTCGATTATGGGCTAAGGTGGATCTTCTTCTTCTTCATTTATGGTTACAGTGGTAGGTGGTGAACTAGTGATCCCTTCTTCGTTTTAGGTTGGAGCAAATTTTTTTTAGGGCGAGAACATTTTAGTATTTTTCACATTTTAAATATTAATATTGAATAAAAATAATATCTCAATTCCATAGATATATCAAACATATTTTTAAAGCCTATATCCATTTTCATCTTCATCTCTATTTTCATTTCCTTTTTCATTGAAATCATTTCCGATGTACCAAATAGGACATAAGTTCTAAACTATTTGAAAATAAGATACCCATTTAGTTTGTCTTTTATATTTGTATGATCATTTTGTTGCAAAAATTTCTCTAATGGATGCTTCCCATCAATGATGAAACCCAAACTTGGTGTGGGTGCTCAACAAGTGCTCATCACTGTGATAAAATATGAATCATTTAAAATTTGATCTGAATAGTTCAAATTTAAACTATTATTATATATTTTTATTTTATATTTATTAAAATAAAAATTTATACAATAATTTTCATAATTTTTTTATTTTTAATATGGTCTAGATTTAATTTGAAAGGTACAATTTAATATTAAAATTTTTATAATTATTATATATTAATTATTTAGATGTACTCTACATAGTTCAAATTAGATTTAATTTGATGTCAATATACATCAATTATAAAAATTTTAATATTAAATAGAATTTTTTAAATTAAATCTAGACCATATTAAAAATTAAAAATTTGTTAAAACTATTTTATAATTTTTATAAATTTTTATTTTAATAAATATAATATAATATAAAATAATGATTTAAATTTGGATCATTCAAAGATCCCATCACAATAATGAGCATCCAAACCAATCCGATGAAACCCTATGATTAACCCATGATGTACTGGGCCCCGCAACAACATAGTTAAGTGGAGCTGCAAGAGAACAGAGCCAGGTTTTGTCCATGCCGCTGCTTTCCAATTTGACTCAGATTTCTTCTATCACCAATAATCACCACAAGAACAAACTCCATCTTTAAAATGATGATAGCGATTAACATCTCTCACAGAGATTTCCCTTTCTGAGATTTTTGATATGAACTTGATAGCAACATGACAGTCCTCACAAATCTTGAGATTTTTTGTTATCAAAATCCTTGCTCCTGGCGACGTGCTTATGAGTCCAAATGCAACAGCTAGCCTTTCACTGTGACTGCACACCATGTTAGTTTTCTCATCTTCCTCAACATCATGGAAGACAGATCCTGTATCAGGGACATACCCAGATTCTCTCATCAGTCCTTCTAGCCTCTTCAACTCTGCATATATTGCGCCAGAATTTGGATGTGAAACATCCCCAGAAAGAAATGAATGGACTTTGTTTTTCACTTCAATCCAGCTACAAGCGGTGCTTTTCTTTATTCCTTTATCAATCATTAAATTCCTTAATCTGGCAACTCCTTCCCACTTACCTGACTGAGCATACATGTTTGATAAAATCACATAGTGTCCAGCATCTTCAGGTTCAAGCTCAACTAACTTCTCCAGTGCCAGCTCTGCCAACTCCACATTCTTGTAGATCTTGCATGAGTTCAGCAGAGCACCCCACACACCAGAGTCTGGCATTACATTCATCTGTGTTATAAGATCATAAGCCTCACCCAGTTGACCACAGTGACCAAGAAGATCAACCATACATGTGTAATGTTGGACTGTGGGATTGATACAGTAATCTCTCACCATCATGTTGAAGAAGGCTCGCCCTTCATAAAGCAAGCCGCTTCGGCTGCAAGCTGCAAGAACACCAACAAAGGTTATGTGATCTGGGCGAGCCTCGTTCCTCATTTTCTCAAATAAGTCCAAAGCTTCAATGGCATGGCCATGCATAGCATAACCAGCAATAATGGCATTCCAAGATACAACCCTTTTCTCCCTTAGACGCTCGAACAAATTACGAGCGACTTTCACAGAACCACATTTTGCGTACATATCTAGTAAGGCAGTTTTGACTCTGTCATTGGAATGAAACCCATTTCTCCAACTAAATCCATGGATTTCCCTTCCATGAGGAAGACAGGCAGTATCAGCTGAAGATGAAATAACGGTGACAAGCGTTGCCTCAGTAGGTTTCACGCCTCTTGCCGCCATTTCAATGCACAGAGAGAGTGTTTCATCGGGCTGTCCATTTTGAGCATAAGCAGCCAGCATGGAATTCCATAACACTGCATCTCTAACAACAATTTTATCAAACACTTGACGTGCATCTCCCACACAGCCACATTTGGCATACATGTCAATAAGAGCAGCGCCTACAAACACGTCTGTCTCCCACCCAGTGCGTAACACACATTCATGAATATTCCTTCCATCCCCAATCGCAGAAAGTGCAGAGCATGCCTTTAAAACAAACGGAAAAGTAAAATTATCTGGCTTTAGCCCATGATCAAGAATCCGGTAGAAAAGCGAAATGGCAACATCGTAGGGCCCATTCCATGCATAGGCCCGAATCAGAATGTTCCACAGAAACAAATTCCCTTGAGGAATTCTGTCGAACAGTTGATGGGCATAGCGAAGAGAATTGCAAACAGAGTAGAGATTAACCAGTTTAGTAGCTAAACCTTGATCATAACCAATGCCCAATTGACACAATCGGGCATGTATCTGGATCCCAGGTCGAAACGCCTTGCCGGCAATGCAAGATTGAAGGAGAGACGCGTAATAGGAGGGTGGTAGCTGTAGTGGATGAGAAGAATCGACCTGGAGTTTATGAGTAGAAGGAGTCAGTAGAGGCTTCGGGTCGTTGGCGAATGAGTGGTAGGACGACTCTTGGAAGAAACATGGAGAAGAAAGAAAGAGATTGAGCAGAGAAGAGAACGGAGAGCGGGAAGTAGCGATTCTGTCGATCTTATTATGAATGGAGTAGAAAGTCATCTAATTTCTGTAAGAAACACCAAAGATTGATGATAACAATGAAGCCTTGGCCCTTGGTCATAGCGTCACCACTCACAAGCTCACGACCTGGGCCGCTGGGCGGGAAACGACTTTGACCGTGTCCCATTGTCGTATCAAACACGTACTCCTCCCAAACTTCATTCCCTTATTTTTATTTAATAAAAATCAATTAAATAAAATGAAAATGGCTTACAGAACGTAATATGAAAAGAACCATAAAATGAAAATAAAATGAAAATGAAAATGGCTTACGCAACATAAGTCTAAGGAACCATAAAATAATAATGGAAAATAAAATAAAATCTATCTTAGAAAACAATACAGCAAACACTGTCATTTCCTAATTTCCCATGGCTCTCTTATCCGTCCGGCTTCTCTGTGAAATAATGTCAACTACCATTATTATGCTTCGTTGGGAGGTTTTGGAGGAGAGGGCACCCTCACCTCCTCATTTAGTTACGAAATTTTGGAGGGAAGAGGAGCTAAAATAATCCTCTCCTCTCATATTGCTCCTTTTTAAATTAGAGTTTTTTGGAAGAAAGTTAATTTTTTTAATTATTTTATTTTTATCTATTTTTAGTAATTTGAGTATATCTATAGCTTAAAAAAAATTTCCTTTATATCAGATTATGTTTCACTTCCAAACTTCGACTAACCCCATTAGATTTTTTTAAAAAAAAAATTGCAATTCATCATATTTTATTATATATTTAAAAAGTTATTTATTTTTTTAATAAAAAATTGCTATTATTATAATTATTTGTTCAATTTTTTTATTCACATATTGACAATATGATAAGATGAGAGTAAATTTTTAACAAATCATGCAATTTAAATTGAAGTATAGAATTATTTTTTACAAGGAAGAATTAAAAAAATTTAATTAATATATAAAGATATAATAGTAAATTAGTTATTATCTCCCTTTCTAAATCAATCAAAGGATCATTAAAAATCCCTTCCCCACCCCCTTCCCCCTTTGCCTCCAACCAAACACACCATAAACTAAACCTTATATTTAAAACTAAAATATACTCCTTTGATCCAAATTAAAGACAATTTAATTTTATAACCTTTTTTTTAAAATAAGAATACAAACTTTTAAAACGCCATTCATTTAATTAATATAATTTTAAGTATGCATATTTAATCATTACATTATAATCACTTTAATTCTCTCTCCATATGAATGGTAATATTGGAGAACTATCATTCATCAAACTTAATTTTAGTTAAATTATCTTATATTTTAAAAATAAAATGCTTTCAAAATTGTCTTATTATTGAGGACGAAGGGAGTACAAGTAATTATTAGATTGAGGGGAAATAATTCCCCTTTTTAGGTAAAATTAATAATATAAAAAATATCAAATGATTACCTAAAAACTAAGAAATTGTTTGTTTTTTTTTTCACTTTTTCTACTCTTAAAATATATTAGAAGTGATATTATCCATAAATTCATAAATTATATATAAACAGCAATATAGTTAATAAAAGTTAAAGATCCAACCTTTTTTTATGGTTAAAAAGTACATTGGTGCTAACGAGATTGGGTCTAACAAAAATTAAAAGGCTAATGGTCTATCACAATATAATCAATTAATGTTTAAATTGTTATTTAAAGATTTATTCGTATTTAGTGTTTGTCGGTTTCTCAAACAAAATTAATTACTTTCAATAAGAAGGCATGTATGCGTAATAAAAAAATAAAATATATTAGTAACGTTTGAATATGTAAAAGCAATAACTCCATGTATATTAACAGGCAGGAAATCAGATTTTAGGTATTGACAATATGACAATTTAAAAATTAAAATCCATGGTTAGGGGCCGGAGAACTACTTACTCGTTCCCTTTAGAGTTATGAAGTATTTTTTTTAATATCATGATAAAAAATATGTATAAAAGGATTTTTATCTTTCAAAATGTAACTAACAAGATTTTTTTAGAAATGCCTTTCATTGAGATGTAATTAATAAAATTTTTCTAATTGAAAATTGAATTAGGATAAATATAAAAAGAATGTATTATTTTAAAAGCTAGGGCAGTAACTAACTTATTAAAATGTAAATTAATAAAAAAATGATATATAATTTTAAACAGATGTGGCGTAACTTTCTTTGACATTCTGATCTTGAAGAGGTCCCTTGGAGTTTTGGTTTGGTCATAAACATCACGTATCGTTCTCTCTTGCCTCTTATATTAATTTTTTTCTCATAACACCCTATTACTTGAAACATTTTTATCTCTACGCATTAAATTTTAATCATTAAATAATAAAAATACTTTTAAAAAATAGAAAAAACATAATTTTAGATTAATACATTTTGCTTGAGTTTTGCTATAACTCTCTCTATTTTTTTTTCATCTATAACTCACGACCCTACACTTTTGTAGAGACAATAACATTAATGGAGTTAATTATATTGATGTGAATTTTAATACCGCTAATTGTGTGGTGACATGTAACTTAATTGTTTGTGTGTTTTTTAACAACCAGAAAACCAAAAAAAAAAAAGGCCACATGTGCGAAATGAAAAGGCTGACTTGGAGCCTCTTTCCATGGGCAGAACAAAACGATGTGGATAAGAAAAGCAAAAGGACCCAGAGACACAAAGCCACGTCGACGCTGGAAAAGGGTGTCGGAGGACGCTGGAAAAGGCCACACCATGCGCTCACCTGAAGAAGAGCGAACCCCCCTGAACTGAAAGATGCTGAAAATGATGCCCAAAGAGACCCTCATGAAATGAAGCCCGAGAAACGTTGAATTGAATGATGCCATGACATTCATTCACGGTCTTGAAATGAAGCTCGAGCTGCAAGAAAGAAGGGGTCCTTTTGTTTTTCTTGTGCCCTAGGAAATAAGGGGCTTTTGAATCGTCTTGTTCTGCTCATTTTGTTCGCACATGTGGCCTTTTTTTACGTTTCTAGTTGTTAAAAAATACACATTAGCAACTTAATGACATGTCATCACATGATTAATAGCATTAGAGTCCGCATTAGCATAATTAACACTATTAGTGTCACTTCAACCTCTCTCCGAAAGTATAAGGACCTAAGATGCAGAGGAAGAAAAATGTGTAAACTTGAAATATCAAAAAAAAAAAATATAGGGGTTTATAATAAAATTTGAATAAAATGTAAGAATCTAAAATTGTGCTGACTATCTTCACATATAACGGTCCGCGAGAGATGGTATTTTCAAAATCATATTGCAATTTCTTGTAATCTCCGTATGTCATTTTTCAGTTTCGAACAACTTTTACTTAAGTAGGTAATAAAAACAATCAATTTGAATTTAAATTCAGCAAATGGCCCAAATTTATTTACTCAACAAATATTTGAACTGTACTTATCAAAATTTTCATTAACACTTAAAATTATCGAGATACATTTTTTTAAAAAAAAATTAAAACAACTCTCATGATGTTGCTCCCAAAATTTGAGGGTGCCTTTTAAGTATTATAGAACAAAGTATCTGATTTTCATATATATTCAATTAAATCAAACAAGTATTATATCATACCATGTGTAAATGAGTGGATTTGTGTCACAGTGACTAAATCCACTCATTTTATGATGGCACTTTCTGAGTTTTGAAGTGCCTTCTCATGTATGGATAAAATTATGGGCAAAGGACAAATATAGACACAAACACCTACACAAAGTTATGCCCACATGATATGATGGAGAATATCCATGCATCCTTTGTTCCTCTTATGGCAGTGGCATCACACTTGTAATGAAAGTACAGTGCAGAGGAAGTAGAAAGAAGAAGAAGATGATGAATAAGACAACATACAGTACGTGGATTCCAGAGTAGGCAGACTGTACCATAACAAATAATCGAAGCTACATACACTCACGCACATGTATATGGGATCATTGGGGTCATCATATATATATATATATATATATAGTATACACAACCTACGGTTAATTCTAACGTGGTACATTAAGCGTATTTACTGTCCATCAGCAAAATTTAAGGACGTCTGTGAGTGTACTGTTTGGAGTTAGCTTGTTCCATAAGACTACATCTACTCTTCAAAACTAACTTTCATCCCAGAGTTCGTTGAGAGAGGGCTTCAAGTTATATTGTTGTATCTTTATTTCTAATATTTTCTACATACACTAGAAGGCCTCGCATAAAGTTGAAAATTAAATCTCAAAATTAAGCTCAGTTGGAGATCCTACAAGTATTCAAATCTTTCTCACTTTATATCCATATTTTTTTTCCATCAAGCCATATAAAAAATTATGTCTTTTTTTTATAAAAAAAAAACTGGGTTTTTCTCTAAGATTTCCATGTACTTCTGATCACATTGCTTCAATTCTTGTTACCATGTCAGTGACCGCCAGTAGTATCCGTACATACATACGTATAAATAACGCTTTAAAATTTTGAAATATATACTTAAATATATATCCATTATCCATGGTATCGTTTTTCTCACACACACACATATAGAGATGGAGATAGTATATATCAAATGCCCGGTGAAGCAACACTAACACTTGTTATTTCCTGAGATTTCGAGGTGTGAACGTGTGCTACTATAGTTCAATGAAATATGCGTGTCGTTTTTAAATTTACTGGTATGGCTTGTGGGGTTTGGATCAATCTCTTCCCTACTCTCTTTTAATACATTTTTTTATACTCAATCATATCCATTCAATTCATTACTTTTTTGATTTAATTGTATGAGATAGCTAATTATGATATTAAAATAAATGCTAAAATGTGAAAAAACTATCTTGAACTTTGAAGCAATTACATATGACCTGATCACCTTACAATAACCTCTCCTTTAGTTTTAAAACATATACTTTAATCCAATTGTTAAAACCATTAGGGATATTTCATTTAAGATTCTAAAATACTTATTATTTATTTGTAATTATGTTGAAAATTTTAAAATTATTAATTCGCCCTTAAATCTAATTGTTTTCTCTCTCTCTTAATTTAAAAAACTTTTAATAATTAAGTATATAGATATTTAAATAAAGAACTTTAAAATTATATTAAGTACATGACTAATTTTTAGACAATATTTATATTTAAATTTTAAAACAAGGTATTTTGGTAT